GTCAAATAAATAAATAAAAAATCTTTAAAATAAAATAAAAAATAAATAGATAGATAAATAAATAAAATAAAAATAAAAAGCTGATTCTGATTCAGTAGGTTCTGGAGTTGGGCCTCAAATTTTGCATTTTTCACAAGCTCTCCAGTAATGTTTATGCTGTTGTTCTTCAGACTACACTTTTGAATACAAAGCTCTTGGTTGTGAATTCTTAATGGAGACAAATTGTCTACGTAAGGCAGGGACAGATTCAGCATAATCCTGCGTAGATTCTTTTGGGCCCCAAAAGCCCTACTGCATGGTGAGAGCATCAAACTTCCTAGGAAACTGTCATTTAAAAGAATTTCACAAAATCTGGAAAGCTTAATTCTTACTGCGCCATTGCTCTTTTATGTCTTGCAGCATCATTCTGCAGCTATGCACTTATTAAGAGAATATTTACAAACATCAGGCTCTTTTTTTTTTTTTTCCCCTGCTTCCTTTTTATTTGGGTTTGCCTGATACGGAATGAGTAGATAAAGATCTATTTGAATATGAGATTGAGAGAGGCATGTCGGGACTTCTTTTAAGTTTGGAAGTTGTGGTGTTCTCTTTACATGAAGCTGAAATCTCTGAAAATGTTAGCAAATTGATCGTCACGTGAAAGGCAGGAGGAAGAGATTCTTAGAATGTTTCATTTTTAGATGAGTGGGTGCTTGTGGCAAAGAACGATTGAATTATTTCCTTTCACATCATATAGCAAGTTGATTTAATGGAAAGGTTGTGGGCATTGGAATTAGACCGATTTGGGGTCGTGCATGGCCTTGGGTAAATAGCATAATTTCTCTTAAGCTTCATTTTCCTGATCAGTGGAAGGGGAATATAATTCTCATTGGATTGATGTGAAGTTCAAATTAAAAGCACCTTGTACAATGTCTGGCCTGCTAGCCATGACTACATTTAATGGTATTAAAATGTCAAGATCTCCAGGAGCAAGGATCTTTTTTCCTCACTGATCTTGGGAGTTAATCTTGTGTTCTTTAGGGAAGTCATGCTTACTTGTAATGTCAGGATTCCAACTAGATAAGTCTGAGATTTCCAAGGCAGGATGGGTGTTCACAGCTTATTTCTTTCTCTTACTCAGATATGCCATTGCAAGACTCCACTCTTGCCAGAGAGAGGAACCCAGAGGAAGAGATTATGGCTGCTGTGGTTTTTTCAGTTGGACCTCTGGTAAGTTGGGGTTTCCTCTGGTCCTGACCTGCCTCTTGGTTTCAGAGCATGTCTATTTTTCCTGAAGCCCGTGACTTCCCTACCTTACCCACACCCCTTCTGGTAACTGAATCAAATTGTTTCATCCATAAAAATTGGGTTCATCATAGTAAAGCTTGTAATCTATAAAAAGATTCATTATACATATTGAAGCAAATATCAAGACACATGATCTTTCAAAAAATACTTTTTGCTGTTTTTGATAGATAGGCAGCCTAGGAAATTTACTTTTGATGTTAAATTTGTATTGTCCCCAGGAAATTTCAGTTATTTATGGGGTAGAAGAATGGAATTTTTTTTTTTTAAAGATTTTATTTATTTATTCATAAGAGACAGAGAGAGAGAGGCAGAGGGAGAAGCAGGCTCCCCGCTGAGCAGGGAGCCCGATGTGGGACTCGATCCCAGGACCCTGGGATCATGACCTGAGCCGAAGGCAGACGCTTAACAACTGAGCCACCCAGGC